GGCCTCCAACCCCCCCCCCCCCCTCGCGGCCGCCAGGGCTTCCTCGCTCTCCTTATCATCTCCATCTTTATGATGAGGCTTGTTAACAAGACCAGCGAGCTGGCCACGCACATCTATCTCAGCGCTCACGCTCAGCCAAGCATCGGCCGGCGCGGGAACTAGCGAGGCACTAATTAATTGATTCCTCTGGACAGTAAAATATGGCAGCGTCTACACGGAACCCATAAACAATATCTCTGCGGGGTGTGAGTGCATTGTCTCTCAAAGAATTTTTCCATAGGCGTGTGTCAAGTAGCGGATTTTTCGCCACTAAAGAAAGACCCAAGTGGGATTCATTTCTCCGGGGGAGACAGAGCTAGCTCAGTGTCAGAAAATGCTTTAAGCTGTTACTGCCTCTCCGAAAGTGTTTAGGAGTGGATTTTGTTGAGAAAAACTTGGGTCATGCGGTAACTTTTCCCTGCTGCTGGTGTAGACCTGGCCAACCTTAGGGATGGGAGTCAGAGCTGAGGGGCTAGGTGGGCCAGAATCTTCTCCCTGGTTGGCTGAGAGGGAGTGGAGCTGCTCTGTGGTTTGAGAGAGTCGTAGAAGAGTAGAAGACCAGGTCCAGCCTTTGCTTTAGGCTGTCTCTCTAGACTCCAGATTTTAAAAATAAATTAAAAAAAAATGTAAACAGACTTTGGCTTTCAGGAGCAGTGCATGCCCAGTGCACACCTGAAACTTGCCTGTTACCCCAACCTGCCTGTTACATACCTTGTCAGGCCATTGCATTTCCCTCCCGCCGCCCCCTCCCCCCCTTTCCAACTGGCAGCCTGGAGTAACTGTAATATATTTACCTTAGGTCTAAAAGAACAAGTCCTGAGACACGGAGGGAAGGGAAGTGACCTAATTAGATAATGTTAATTCTTTACCAGGCTGTGATTATTCAGTCAGACTCCGCTGCAAACAGGACTTAGGATTCTAAATACAGACCCTGACTTCAAGAGATGTAACAGGGAAATAGAGATCAGCGACCAGCGATTATTGTATAAATAGTCCATGTAGACATAGAAGGGGTTTTCAAAAGATGGAAATAATAGAAAAACAGGAAAACAGAAAAGAGGCTCCGTTGATGGAGACTGTCATTGCCAAAGCGCGAGCTTCCTCCAGCTACTGTTTGCAAAACAGCCAAATAAACACGTATTATACATACAATAATATGCGAGCTCAAAGAATTTACTTCCCTGGATTTGGTACCTGCACACCATGTAAACAAACTAATTTACAGGGCATAGTTTTCATACATTGGGTAGATATTCAATTTGTATATATAATGATGCCTTTTCCATGTACTTTTTATGTGGATACATTAATATCGGGATGCATTTTCCATGCATGATTTTATACGTCCTATGGAGTGTATACATCTATGTAGCTCAAGAAATGCGGGACTGTGTATTCGCGGTGTGGGATGGATATGCGAGTGTACTGTTTATGTAAATGAATCTTTACATGTGGTGTTTATCCATGCTATGTGTAACCTTTTCCCAGAAGGTTGCTTTCCCGTGCAAATAAAAGTGCCTCTGTATGTACATTTTCTACAGAAATATATTTTCCATGCCCAGGGTGTACATATAACATGGATATCTGTGCGTTCGAGACTGTTTCAATATATCGGTTATGTTGGCAGAAACCTCTCTCTCCTGCCCCGTATACGGACTCTGCGTCTTTCACAGGGAGCTCTCCTAGCAGGAACTACCGGCGAGTTCCGTCCGCGCAGACCTGTCCTTGGAAGGAAGTCCTCCACTCTGGGATATGGAAACTGACAAAGTGAGGGCTTGTCTCTTAGTCTCCAGGAAGTGGCTCTGGCTCAGAGAGGAGGGATCACCTACCGGCGGCCGGCTGGGTCACCCTGGCTAAAGGTCCGGCTGTGTTTGGTCTCATCCAAGCCCAGTTCCCCGGCTCCTTTAGGAGCCACCGGCTTCGGGAATCTCCGCCGCCGCTGGCGGTGAGAAGCCCAGCGGGAGGGCGGGCCGCCGCTGTGGGGACGCCGCGTGCCCAGCAGAGGGAGGGCACTTAGCAGAGAGGCCTGGTTCCCACAGCCCGGCAGCGCCTCGACTCGGGCTGTCCTTCCAGGTCTCCCACAAACTCGCGGGGCGCCCCCAGGCCTAGGGTGCTCGGGGCTGGGCGGCCGGGCGGGGCGGGGCTCGGCGGCCTCCACCGCTCCCGCCAGCAGGGGTCATCCCGTCCTTTGCGGGGGCCCGGCGGCCCTCGGGCGCCGACCAGAGCTGCCGGCGCTGTTGGGCGGCGAGCTGCGCGGGGCAGCAGGGGCTGAGAGGCGCGCCGGGTCCCCTCTCCCCGGGACCCTGCAGCGGATCCGGCGCCGGGGCCCGGCCGGCCGGCTAAGTGGACCGACTTCCCAGAGCCCTCTCCACTGGGCCGGGCCACTGGGAGCTCCAGGCGCCCGCGTCATCCACCAGCGGCCGCCGCGCCTTTGTCTCGGAGCGTCCCCGAGAGCTGCGACCGCGAGCTCGGCGCCGGGCTGCAAGCGGTGCGCGGCGTTCGGGTCGGCGGGCGCCGGCAGCACGCTTCTCCACGGAAAACCCGCAACTCCGTCTCGACGGAGGCAGCCGCCGGAAGGCGGCCGCGGGGGTCTAAGGCTCGGCATCCACGCGGCTGCAGGATCCGCCTCCTGCAGCCCACCTCGCTCTGAATTACACCGGACCCTTCGGCGCCTCCGTGTGCCCGCCGCGCGGAGAGGGCTGGGGGCTCCGGGGTGCGTTTCCCGCGCGGGCCCGGGGCCTAAGAACCGCTCCTGCTTTCCTGGTAATGGCGGGGAGGATGGGCGGGGGCTCCGGCCTGTCCGGAACCCAAGGTCCCGGGGGTTTGCTTTGTTCGGAGATCGAGCTGGCGGTCCCTGCTCTGCTCTGGGTCTGAGCCATCGATCGCGCGCCCGGTTTCCGGCTGCATTACTATCCACGGGACCCGGGCTGCCTGGCCCATCTCCCGCCCGCTCGCTCAATAGCTGCCTTAAATACCCTAGCTGTGTCTATGCAGGTCAGAGTGGAGTAGAACTGGGTGGATAGCCAGGGCCAAATACACAGCTCATTTGGATGATATAAGCTTACAAATACACAGCAGCAGAATTATTTCCACCCGCGTTGCATTATCCAGATAATTCTCTCCATTTCTTGCCCCTCAAGACCCAGTTTGTGACACGGAGCTCTTTGTCTTAAAGTCCGTGGAGTAAATAGTAGTTTGAGGGCTTAAATCAGACAAACGGTTGCAAAATAGATGCAATCCTTGCCCAGATGCAGAGTTCAGCCTTACCCTGAGTATTTGGGTTGCCGCTCCCACCACTACACTCTCCTTGGCAGAGAGACCCAAGGATTTGTTGTTCAGCCATGGGGAGGAGGTTATAGTGTCTCTCCTTCTCTGATAGTCTCTCGGTTATTGACTCTTGGGACCTGTGTAGACACCACCCAACAAAGTACCTCCTCTCTCAGATCTGCAGTGTCTCTGGGACTAAATCAAGGGAATAAATTAAAGGCCAGTTATTCCTCACTTCTTTAAATTTACTCCTTTCTTTTTAGCCAGAAATGCCTTCACTGTTAACTCT